TTTACAAATTGATCAACTAGTATTCCTCAACATGATTTCCTTAACTAATTTCTCTGTGGAATCTTATCAAAAGAACTCTGAAACTCTTTAAAAGTATGAAATCTACACCCTTTCCATCGTCCAAATAACACCTCCCCCCAGAAAAGTCAAGAGATTAGTAAAAGATTTCTCTTTAGTGAATCCATTTTATAATCAATATTTCATAAAACACTTTTGCAAAGACTTATCAAGCAGTTCTCATCATTTAACAAATCAACACTTCTACCATTAGTAACCAATTGAAATATCTCATGTAACTGTGATTACTATGGTAAAAGAAGTTGTCAATTAATATTTTCTATATATGTACACCCCAATGATTAGTGTATCTGGACTGTAAATCCTAGAGTTCATGATTCCCATCCAATTGCTGTAAAGATGCACTCTACACATGTTTGTCACCTGCGGTGTACTATAACAATGATGGCAAGATCCTTTTATTCAGTCAGACAAGAGTGGCCTAAGATTTGTCAATGGGTGCTGTTGATTAGCTGCCTTCTTTTTAATCCATCATTTAAAAATTAGACATCTACGTACAGATAAGCCCTTTTGTAGTTTTGCATAAAATCTTTGATAAAAACAATTCACCCCATATTTACTAATACAAGTAAGTTAGTATCAAAGATAAAAAAAAATTGTATGATGATTAAACATGACACTAAAATTACACAATTCAAGAAGATTCTTTCGTCATCATCACACCATTTTACATATTAGAGAAGAAAACCAAAAACAGTTAAACATTTTCTGTGAGTGAATAGCAGGATGCTATTTCATAGAGAAAAGTGGTGTAAAAAAGTTAATGTTTTCATTGTTCATGATTACATCACTTTCATATACTTTTTGTAGACCCAGTACAAATACTTTTCTAGTGTGTGTGTGTCCACGTACAATGCTTCAGTTGTTACTTAATTATAAACTTTTCAGTATTATGCATTTGATTTGTTATATATGTATATATGACAGAGTCAATGTTGACATACAGATCACTAAAAAAGTGGTATTGTTAAGTTTTCACACTAATTATTTTTTAAGTTCAAACCAGAAAATAATTGTCAGTCTATATATGACCAGGTTTGAAGCAATTTGATAAGATATACATTTTATAGTCAGTTCTTATGATTCAGTGAAATAAATACCAGGTTGTTGTTTTATTGACAAAATTTCACAAGTTTCATTTTCTCATAGTGTTTTAAATAGATCTATTAACACAAAATAATTGTTCATGACTAGATTTCATGGCTTCATCAGTATAAGGCATTACATACCATAATATTGGATATATCATAAGTGACTGATGTAGTGTTTCCACCAAGATTTTGTGTGTGTTGCATTGCAACAGACTTTATGGGCTCTATACTGAGCAAGAAACCTTGTTAGCAGTGGTGCGCAGTTGAGATGCTATCATGTTTCTTCTTTATTTGAAACCCACAGTATAGGGCCAGTAAAGAAAGACTTGTAAACAATTATTATCAGTCTTATTGTTATTTAATGTTATAAAAATGAAGTTTTCTTTTCTCTATTCCAATTTGGTAATAAATAGTTTATTTGCATAATTAAAACAGAAATTTATAATATAATAATACAGCAAAATCTAAAACTTATAACAGAAAAAAAGCTATTACTTTCCAAACTATTCACTAATGTTAAAACTTAGTGATACAGTGTAAAGTCTGACTTGATGAAAAGTCTGGTTAAAAAAAAAATTAATGGTAAACATGCAGTAATAAGAAATGGGAAGAGCTTCACTACAAAACATTGAAGTTTTTGTTGACTTCAACCTTTGAATGTAATGTTATTACAGTTATTCATGCATATTAATACCTTCTGACCATTCCCATTTATTTAAAAACTAACACCAATAACCACTTGTTATTCATATGTAATTTATCACATAGTGTTTAGTATATTGACTTAAAGAATTGTTTAGTAGTAAATAATGAAGTTTCAATGCCAAAAAATGCATTACAATAAGAGTACTAATAACTTTTTTTGGTTGATTCTCAGTTGACAGGTTTTTCTATTAAAAGTGGAATAATAACACTTCAACTATGTCTCTTTAGTAGTTATCATTAACTGAAGCCTTTTTCTTGTCAGAACATTTGACTCTTAATAATAAATCTTAATTTAAACAATATTTAATATAAAATATGTAAGACATAATTTATATTCAACATATTTTTAAAATCTTGTTAAATATATACATATCTTTTCAGGAAAATATTTGTTCATATGTCAAAATAAGACCGTATTAACATAATTCAATCTACTATTTCACACAAACCTTGTACTGTTCCTGTTCAAAAAACACTGGCTACTCTTTTACTTGTCTTTTTAAAGCTTATCACATACATGTGTACACAGATTCACCAATTTCTTGATAATATGGCCGAAACTTCATTAAAACATTACATTTTGCTTAATGGAATAATTGTAAAGGATTAATGAGATTGACACAAAGTTCATGCAATATTTTTTCTAAGTTCTTACAACTTTATCAGTCACAAGTGAAATGCCCTCTTCCTGTCATTAACTTTTTCTAACATAAAATGCTACTCACATAATTTTAAAGAAGATTAGCAAGTAATATCCTTAAATAACAGGTGTTTAGGTGATGTATTTACCATTTGGAGGAGTGACAATTCTGTATTAGACCATTTCAATCGCAAACAAATCCCATTATGTTAATTCTAAGAACTTATGGGTGAAATTAAAGAAGAATGTATAACAAAATATCAACCACACTGTAGCTGCTCATTAGGGAAGATAAAGCTCTTACAAAACTCTAATTAACCCCGATTTAGTGATACAGAGGTAGTTTAGGGTTAGCCATAATTTTGTATATTTTGTGAGTGATGCCAAAAATAACAACAATATTTTGTAAATGTTACCAGAATTTAGCTTGAACTAGAAAAACTTTTTTTTTTTTTAAATATTAGTTGCTTAGTGGGGCAAAATTTCAGATATTTGACCTTGTCTGCCTATACTTTGATTTTGTATAAATGCTCACAAGAAAAGAACCCAGAGTTTATGCATGGCTCTTGTATTGTTCAATAAAATTGGGATGTTAGCAATCAATTCAAAAATTGTATAATATTTATAATTACTGTGAAAATTAGTTTTTTGTTTTTAAATATAGAACTTATATTAGGAAAAAAAGTACATAAATCAAATAATACACTAAAAATTGCTATGTAGTATATATACAAAACATCCAGGTTGTAGACTAGCATTTCAAGTGTTTATATTACAAAATGTATAAAAAAAATTATATATATATATGTCTATTAGTACTGCATTAAAATAGGTACATATACAAGATTACCAAACTTTAATATTTAAAAACATTACAGGAATTATGTAAAGCTGACCATTGTTCTTAAAAACCAAATGCACAAAATATCCAATTTATGAAAGGTATTATATTATGAAAGATAAAAGAAAAAGGAAAAAAAAAAGAGTATTACAACATTCAAAATTACCTAAAAGCTTCACACAACTTTACAAGGAAACTTCCTCTTTTTATTCTTTGTTCCCAATTCAAATATCACATCCTTTTATCCTATAAATTTATTGGGGAGATGTTCAAAGAAATCCACGGTAATAGAACAATACCACACACTCTCACCCCTCTAACTTGCTCATTCTCACTAGAAGAGCAAGATGATATTCGTCAAGTTTAATGGAAATATACTATTTAGGGAAATGAAAAGAAAGACAATTATACTTGAAATTACCAATGAGGATTGTCATTTAATGAAACCAAAGACAAAGGAAGATGCATGAAAAAAACAGCATAAATCTACAAGCTGATGAGAAAAAAAAAAGGGAGAAGGGGTGGGGGGTGGGGAGATGCTTGGAAACATGGGTTACAGTACATAATAAAAACACCCAAAGAAATAAATCATTAGGTTATGAATAATTAACTCTTCCCAGAAAGTTGGACAGAAAGCAATGCAAGTAGATATGGAAGATAATACATTTGTGTTGTTCTATTGCAGAATACCAAAACATATCCACAATATTGGTTTATTAAAAAAAAGTGAAAGGTCTGTTCTTCACGCATAAAACAATAACAGAACGTATATAACTTCTATTACTAGAAATAAATGACTTTATAACACCAAATTGTTGTTTTTCTTTAAATGGATATTCAACATTTCACTTACAGCTTCTTCAGGAGCAAGCATTCCACTAAAACCCAAAGTAATTGTGTACATAATTTTTGTATCTTGAACGAATAAAAAGTTATATTTAGTAATTAAATGTGTGTGGTACATGTTTAAAATACTTATAAAAGTTTATTTATTGCAAAATATATATCCACAATATCGGTTCATTAAAAACATGTTAAAGGCCTATTCTTGACACATAAAACTATAACAGAATGTATATGACTTATATTACTGTAAGAACTTGTTTGTATTCAACTTTCTAGGAAGAATTAGTTTATTATTCATAACCTTACGAAGAAACTGTAAAGTAAAATGTTGAGTGTCCAATTGCAAAAAACAACAACAATTTGGTGGAGTTATCTAGTACTAAAATGTCTTCTATAGACCGATATGCACTACAGAAATTACATAATGATGGATATGACTTGTTGATAAAATTAAGAGACTGAGTATAAAGACTAATGATAAGGAGGCCTTCATCTAATAGCAAAGCATATCATGTGTGGGTTTATAACAGTTGAGAATTAAGGTAAAATATAAGATGGAAGGTGAAACACCATACTACAAATGAACGACTGTCATAAACTTCAAAATCACTGGTTTAAGTACAGAAAGATTTTGTTAGCACCAGGTTAGAGTGAGATCAAACACATTCGATTAGTGGCCTTCCAGATCAGTTTATTCTTTTTTTAACAACACTTATTTATAATCACTGGTGAGTGATTTGGGTTGAGTTTCAGATACGGGATACTTCTTTATACCATAAAATTTAACAGTATCGACCCTCAAGTTGATTTTGGAACCTCAATTAGATATTGTTTTAAAAATTTCTGTTTAAAGTGATCTCAGTTTTCAAGTATGACCTAAAGATTCAAATTCAACCATGTTCTTAAAACTTTGTTTACATGCAAACAAATGATTGCCATCTAAGCATGTAAAAACAATCAGTAACTATGTAAATAAAAAGCAGATCAGATACAGTTTTATAAGTATTTTAAACGTACCACACATTTAATTACCAGTAAAACTTTTTTATTCTTCCAAGATACACATATTATGTACAAAATTACTTAAAATTTCTGACCATATCAGAAGTAACTGTCTTTGAACTTTCAATGACATATTAAATGCCATTACTGATGAGACTTGGGTGTTTGTTGTAAAACCTGTGGAAGAAAATTTTCATGTTTAATTTCAGAGAAATATAATTAGTTATGACAGAATAATATAATTTGTGCAGGTATTGACAGATCTACATTAAACTTATGCCAATGATATCATATATTATAAAGTGAATTTGGTCAACAATAGCAATATCTCACTTCATATGAGAAAGGTACTGCTAAAACATTGAATTTAGAACAAGTACACTAGCATAAAAAAACCATGTTCCAACTGTGGGGTTCAAAGGGCTCCTCATTAAAATAAATAAATTTAAAAAAATTAAAAGAGACCCCAATGTACCAATCACGTTCCTCCATTATCCCCAATTACTTCAATAGCTACTTCAAAGGGTATTCATACCCAACAATAAGCCCTACTAGGACACCTGCATGTGCACCATGTTCAATACTGCTAGCTTGTGGAGTGTGAAAATAGTTTCACAAATGATGCCCCTGAGAACAGAAGGGGGCAAATAACACAACATGTAATGCTAGATTCAAGTTTAGGAACCCTGAAAACAAATTCCTAGTACTTCACATACCTGGGTGATTTTTTCTGGGGACATTTACATATGTAATAATGTATTATTACATATATGTTATGAAATTAAAAATTTACTAATAAATGTACATACAGTGTCAAATTTTTGTGGAGATTATTCATTTGATGAAACTGTAGCGATGTTATGAAAGAAAACATACTTGCTACCCGAATTATTGAATCATCAGCAGTAGTTTCTTCAATGAGAAACAGATGTTATGTCATTAGTAGCATTTTATGTTACTGTAACAATGTTATGAAAGAAAACATACTCGCTGTGTGAACTACTGAATCATCAGCAGTAGTTTCTTCAGTGAGAAACAGATGTTATGTCATTAGCAGCTTTTGATGAAATTACAATTTTCCACAATTTTTGACTTGTTAAGAAGTGTTAGAAAAACCTGGATGAGGTTAATGTTGTAGCTCCAATAAGAACAGTTCCAAAATTTTCAAATTCTGATTGGATTATTAAACATAAGACATACCTTTAGCACATATTGGTTAAGAATGGCCTCTCGACTTTGTTGTGATGTAGTTGAAGTGCTATATTCTGAGTGTGTTCCATTACTGCTGAAGTAGAAAGTTGAAATAAAATTATCATCCCTCATCTCTTTTTTTTTTTCTAAGCTCAGAAAATTTTCTTAAAAGATAAACAATCTATGCTTACAACATTACTAGAATATATAAAAGGTGGGTTAAAGCTAAAAACAAATTAAGTATTTCTGAACAGAGCCTTACCAACACACACTATCAACTCCACCTTTTCATAGCTGCTTTATCAAAAATAGGCAT